TTCCTGTGTATTAACTTCATCTAAGGTATTGAAAGGGAGTGCGAATCATCCATTCTTCTATTGACAAACTAAAAAGCACAGACAGATAGAGTGAGTAGGGACACATGGCAAAGTCAGCATGAGAATCTAGTACCTTAGATTCTTAATCCGAAGTTATTTTCATGACACACAGTGCTTCCCCTTCAAAGGTCTATAACATAGGCATAAACAGGCTGTATGCATTAAATTACATTGCATAGTCATGTAATTTTGTTTTCACATTTTAACTCTGATCTAAAGACTAATAAATATATCAACTGCAACGCTATTGAGTAAATATAGATAATAACAATAATTCAGCTTGCTCTTCTGAAAATTATAAGAAATTTTTGCTAGATGATTTAGATGGCTTAAATCTCAAAAAACTATTCATGAAAATTTGCACTGATATTATCTTTTTCTCTCAAGAAATTTTCCATATCAAGAAGAGTTGCTGAAAATAATTCTATTGGTGATTTTTTTAAAAAAGAGAAATGTAATTTCATAACATTTATAGACATGATTGAGAAATAAAAGTTTAGACAAAAAAGGGTTTCTTTTTTTGTTTTGTTTTGTATTATATGCCCAGAATAGGAGGAAGAATGGATGAAGAACTACCAACACGGTTGGTTTTGACAACACATCCACTCCTAACTTATTGACATGGTTAGGTTCCAAAGACCAGTTCATTATGTGAAAACTGGTATTATGCAAAAAAGGGGGATAACCACATCAGATCACAAAATATTCTATGGGACACTTATGTCCCTCTGGACTCGAGAAGCAGAAAATGTAAGTGGGTGCTATATGTCCCATTGATCATGAAAGTGTTACTGCCAGATATTTGTTGTTAATGCACAAAATAGTCAGTACATTTTTTATTATTGTTGTAAATGCAAAATATTAGATAACAAGACAGTCAATAAGTGAGGAGTAGGTGTACTATACTTGTCAATATTTGTTGTTACATCTTCCATTACAGATTTACTTAAGATTCTCTCTTTATGGCAAATTCTTTCATAAAGTATCCTTGTGAATTTGTTTAGATATCTTGATGACATTCTTTGGATATGAAGCTATACTTGAACATTCATCTACACATGGCTAAGAAACTTCTCTATCCTCAGGCTTAGCAGTTTAGAACCAGTTCTTAGTACAGTGCCTGAGAAGTTACCTGAATAAACACTGGTTGAATGAATGATTTATCCTTATCTATCAGCATTTTTTTTTGACCAGCTTACCAGATATATTAGCTTACCATCTAATGTAAACAGATACAAATTTTAAAACACACATTCACAGAGTGAGAAAAAAATAACAATCTAAATAGCAATTATAGTTTTGGATTTTAAAAAGTTTACCAAACATAATGATTGATGATATAGGGACATTTTACTAGACCTATATATGAGTGTGTAAATATAAATAGCTAAATGATGTACTATTATGTATAAATACTGCATGAATAATGAATGCATTATTTACTAGAAGCAGGAAAAAATTATATTCAAATATTTTACATTTTTGAATTTACTTTTTGCTACTTGTACATTTAGCAGACTAACTTTAATGTGACTTACTATAACACAAACAGCATAATTCTGTATCATGCAATGAGATCTGATTAGTGTACTGGAAGTAGTAATTGTAATGGATTTTGTTCATTGTAGTTTTATAGTGTGGAGCTCAATAGATACAACATTTTTAAGTATTAGCATTTATATAAATGCTTAAACTCTAAAGTCAGAATAAAATTTCTTCCTTTGTAAAACTTGGATTACAAGTGAAAGGCATAAAACGTCAATGATGCATTTTAGAATAAGATTATTTCCAATAATGTTGTATAACAACATAAGTTATTTTTGGCTTTTAAGCAACCTATGATTGTGTTTATCAACTATCAAAAAAAAATCTTGCTGGGAACAGTCAGGCATATTTTCCCTCAGAATAAAGTTCTTTGAGTTTATTCTAAGAAATAAAAGCAAATTCAAGATCATATGTTGCGATAACTGATAAAAAACCCCAACATTGTGTTACGAACAATTGCACTTGATACTTCTTGTCATCTTATGGAATATGTGTTCCCTAGAGAAAGCAGCATGGCTTCCTTTAATTTACATTTCCAGAAATATTATATGGTTACTTAAGCTGAATACAGTGCTTTGATGAATCAGATTGCTAGGAATATACCATCCTTCCCTTTTCCCTGTAAAATAATGTGCTCTTTTATTGAAGAAAATGATGAAGAAAGCAATATTAAAATACAGGGAGCTTAAGGTTATACTCTTTTCCAAACCACTGCCCTCCAAGCCAGGTAAGCCAGTATAGGTTTTTGGCTCCAGGCAAACACCCATGGGTTCATGTGTTCTTATCTATACAGTATATGGAGAAGAAAACACATTAGAGGCACACATTTTGCCCTGCTTTGGGAAGAAAGGAAATTTTGTCCCTTTCCAAGGAAATCTTGGAAAGCTTTTCTCTGTGAATTAATGATGGAATGATCCTAAGCCCCAAAATGAGAAAAAATGGTCACCTTTTTAATAAGCCAATGTAACTATCAAAAATTAGATAAATAATGAAGACAGGCTTAAAGTTACTGGTTTAGACTCAAATCACAAAATATGCCTAATTGAAGATTCATTTTTAGTTTAACGCCTAACCATTATAGACAAACTTTCATAGGTCACAGACATAGTTAAATGTACTAATCTAAGGGGTAAAAGTGAATTGTCATTGACTAAACTAACTGTATATCCAAGTGATAAATGTCAGTCCCAATTATCTTTCTCATTAATTATGATTAAAGCACAAACTTGGGTTTTGATATAACAATGTAAAATTTGGCTCTCAATAGGATATTGCTTATCAAGTAGACTTTGTACTAACATAATATCAAATTCTAGACTACTAGAAAACTCAGTTCTTCCAAAACGTAGATGATGTGCAATTCTCAGTCTTAGATAATTGTAATTAAACCAACACATCCTCTTAAGCAAAAGGATTACATACTTAGGTTGATCTGATTTTTAGTATAGCACTGTAAAGCTAGCTTTATTCTCACCTTACTCCTTGTGTCATGAAAATAAAAACATGTAGTTGTTTTTATGTTGCTGGTTGGGTTTTTTGCCCTGCCTTTATCTCTTGTTCCAAGTCGCTTCTCTGGCAGTTCTCTAGCTGAAATAAATTTCTAAGAGGGGCCTAATCCAACACATTTGCTTTCTAATAAGCCCTGGGACATCTATCTTTTCAGTTTCTGCTTTGTAACCTTCCTCAGGCCTTTAACTGTACTAGAACCCACAAAAAACTACAAAAAAGAAAAGAAGCAGAGACTGAATAAAGCTTACTTTTTGCTACCTATTTTGCCACTCATTTTTGAAGTTCATTCTCAGCACATATTTCTTATTAACTAGGCTCAAATTTTTCCGACTCCTCAGAACCTCATTTTAAAGGTTTTGCCCTCTTTGCCTTTGAAGCAGTCTTTACTATTTGTAAAAATTTGCAAGTTTCTCTTCTCACTCAGCTCTTTAGACTATATTCCTCTACAAATGGGAAAGACAAACAGTCATTCATGTTAAAGGGAAATTTAAATATGATTCAGTAATCATTGAGAACTCATAAACCAAATAAATCAGACTCTCAGAGCTAGTGGATACAGATTAATGACTACTGTTTAATAAATCAATATGATTGATAATAATTTGCCAATACATTAATAGGTTGTAGTAGAAGCTAAGTAGATGAAACACAAGAAAAATAAACCAAATATAAATGGCAAAATCGTTTTTAGGAGTAGGAAAAGGACTACTTTACTAATGGGAAATGTCTACATAAATAAGCAAATTTTACCTGGCATCATCTTGTGAGAATCGCCTTTGCAAATCCTCTTTATTCCACTGTTGTTTTTCTTTCCCTTGCTCAGGTATATCTTGTGTTTTTTCCTCGTCTCCTGATTCTTTGTTTTTCTCCTTATTACAGGTTTTTGTAATCTCTTTCCCCTTCCCATTCTCATGAATTCTTTCTTCCTTTACCTCTTCCTCCTTATGAACTATCTCTTCATGCTTATCCCCTTCTTTCCCTCCCTTTTCTATTCCCTTTGGTCTTTTGAAAGCAACACAAATCGAAGGCATGCAAATAAACACAAAAAGAAAAAAGGAAATAAAGTCAAGAAAGAAATGCATAAGAAATTAAACAGAAAGGTAATGAAAAGCTATTAAAACCTAAGTAAAAAGTGTATCTTTTAAACATTGAAAACTTTTTTCAGTATACATCACAGCAGTACTGTGTAAGCAACACTTAATCATAATTGTTTTTAAATTACATTTTTATTTTATGACCTTTTATAGAAACAAGGTGAAAGATCGTGTTCTCTCCAATATAGGTATTTTTATTCCAATAGGAGTAAAACAGTTAATTAGCTCAGGTGCCCATAAATGTATAGATTAGGTGAGAAATTCAAGTTATACCAGCATATATTTCATTTACAAATTTCCTTGAGAAGCTGAGGACTTCTTCCATACATTTATAAAAACTTCAGGAGGATGGGAGAGCATCCTATTAAAAAGGTAATAATCTTATGTTTTCTGAATCTTTAAAATGTATTCAGTAAAAAATGAAAACCAAAAAAAAAAATGAAACTCCAAAAATATTATTTTTCTATGTCTTCACTTAACTGTCACTTTAAGTTCAGTAAAAATATATTAATAACAACATCATTTTTAACTAGAACGTTAAAAAAAACTAATCATATACTTCAAATAATCTAGTAAGCAAAACTGTCATCAGTTCCATAAAATTTTTTTCTATACAAGAAGTTTAAAATGTACCCCAAAATACAATGAAAAGTAATGTATACAGAGTTCTTATTGCCCAAATGATGTATCTTAACCTTTTAGGAAAAAAGAATTTTGAGTTTGTACAAAGGAAAAATAAAGACTTTCTAAAATCTATTTAGAAGAGATTTTTGCTGAAGTCCCCTTACTCACCTGATTTTCTTGTTTCCTCTTGGCCGTTCTGACTGGACAGACATGTAGCTTGTGCTGCTGAAACGAGAAGCACTACTAGTCCTTGAAACCGCAGATATATCACTTACGTCACTGTCCGAAGATTTAGTGGAAATATTATCTGCCCCTCTATGAGGATCCCATCCTGATCGATACTGTTAACACAGATTGACAAATATGCAGAAGTTGTCAGTATTACCACACAAAGCAGTTATTAGCTTTCTCCAATTTCAGCACTTTAATTGTCCACAGAGGATACTGCAAAACCCCACTCAGTTGCATATAAAACAAAAGTGAATGGCAATTATCCTAAAAGAAAAATTCAATTTATATGTAACCCTTGTTTTTAGCAAAGGCAATTAGAACATTTTCACCACACCCCAGTGAGGACCATCTAAACAGTTTCAAAACAGCAATGGCCTCAGGGAAGAGCGTTTAGGTAAAATCTAGGAAATAAACATTTGGCTTGATATTAGGAAGTAGAAATTTTTATATCTGAATAAAATTGGAAAAAACAGTATGATAAAGTTGCCATTGTAACTTATAACAAACAATTCTAGTAGCCATCAAAGTTTCTCTTTCATCCATTATGCTTCACTGAAAACCTAGAGATAATAAAAAAATCTAATTATTAAAACACTAACTCTTTTAGAAATGCCAAGAAAAAGAAAAAAGTTTAATTTTAAATGATTGCTGGAATTTTGATGAATCCTAGAAATATTAGAAAAAGTCATTATTATTTACAATAGTTCAAACTTCCTGGAATTAAAATAATTAGATAGTTATCTGGCACAGCCAGGATGTAGGATGTTCTGGGTGTTCAAATATTCTGGTAAATTGAAAACTATCATAAACACTTTATGTTAATGACCTATTCTCATAAAATACATTTAATGTAAAAACTAATGGACATAATTTTATTTTATTTTTGACAACAAAAGATAACTTGCTGGGAGTCAGCATGTTGAGATGTAACAAGTACAGACTTTGGAATCTGGAAAACCTAGGTTTGAGTAAAATTCTTACCAGCTGTGTAAACCTGAGCAAGTTATTTAACCTTTAACAGCCTGTTTAAAAGACAATAAGAATAATATCTTCCTTGCAAGGTTGTTTTGAAAATTAGAAATAATATATGTCAAGTGCACAATATGGTGTCTGGCATAATGTAAATGTAGCCATGTTTATTACCGTACCAATATTCAGTATTCTTACTAATATCATCAAATATGGTTATTACTAGGTTAAGAGAATATCTCCTAGATATTTTCTTTATATGCATTTCAAACACAGTGCTGAAACACTCTTATCTAATCAAATTTGCAGTGGAGACTTTTCTAATCATAGATACTAGTAAATTTCACAAAGTCTTAGAAAAATGATTATCTTATATAAACCACTTACTGTAATTTCAAGAATCATTATTTAATAAAAACCCCTTATAAATAACAATTCATTGCAAATATTAGATAGATATAAACATTTTGGCCATGATAAATTGAATGAATGGCAACAGGGTGTAGTATAAACATTAGATCAGATTCAAATAATATGGTTTTTTCCCCGGGTCTTCCAGTATCTAGCTACATATTTCTGAGTCAGTTAATAACTGATCCTTTTCTTCAAATGTAAAATAAAAGGATTATTTCTAAGGTTCCCTAAAGTTTTAATAGTCAAATCTATTTATCTAGAAATATACACTCACATTAGGTGAGAAATTGGCTTTTGTTATTCCGCTTTAACTTTCCGTATTGTTGGATAGAATTTCAGTCATCAAAATGAATACAAATCAATTCTTCAAAAAATTGCTGCCTTTCCCCAGGTAATATCTGTGTAAACAGTGCTGTCGTGTTTGATTTTAAAAGGAAGATTACTTACTTACAGTAAATTTATTTGGAAGAAAATTCAGCTCACTTCATTGGTTTTCTTAACTAATTTCATTTTAAAATACCAAAAGCAATTTACTTTAAACAAGAATATCTTCAGCCATTGCCTAGAATAACATTTCAATGGGTATAGCCAACATTATATATGTTAATTATCTATGCATATATATATATACACATATATAAAATGTATTATATATATATGTTTTCACTAAATTTATTAAAAGTAAATTTGATATCAAGTTGAGACATATATGGAAGTCTTTTATCTTTTTTTTTTGAGATTTAGTTTATATGAAAAAAATCAAAGTTTTAGAAGCTATAAAATTATTTCAGTAGATACTGTACTGTATTTGGGAGATTTTATTTTTATCATTTTTATAATTCAAAAAGAGAAGCAGTCTCCTATTTTATCTTTTAAAATAATTTATACTGGATAGAAAAACAGTTTAGGCATTATATTTGTTTCTTTGGTTCATGGGACTATTGTATCATCTAAACTCAAATGAAAAACTGAAAGTTTTATTTCTAGGGGGCAGTAGAGGTAACAATTATGAGCACATGCTCTGGAGTGAGATGGCATACTGGGTCCGAATTCTGGCTACATAAATTATAAGGTTTGTGATCTTGAGCTAGTTAGTTTCTCTAAATCTCAGTTATTCATCTGCTAAACTGTGGATAACAATGGTACCCATCTCTGAGGTTGCTGCAAGGATTAAATATGACAATGTGTGTAAAGCACTTAGCACGAAATATCTGACACATAGTAAGTGTGTAATAAATGACAGATGATAATGATGAGGATGTAGTAGCTGAATACCGGCTTATTATCAATTCCAGTAATATCTTTATCTAAAGAAATGTTAGGTAGATACACCAGAAATAAATATATTAAGACTGTACTAAACTACAATAAAAAATATAACTTTTTCCAAACGTATCCAAGGGTTTATTTAAAAAAAAAATACGTTTATAAAGTAAAATTAAAATACTAGACCAAATTTTTCTCCTAACTTTGAGTATATTCTCAGGTCTCACCTTCCCCATTTGACCAGGTTCATCCATATCCCATCCTCTTATAGAACTACTGATTTCCCAACTGCAGTTTAACAAATAGCTTTATCTCAGCAGGAAATCTATATGACACTTTTTGGCTGAGGCTGATATGCCTCATTTTTAATTGACTCTGGTACCTTATCCTGACATCCAAATCTGCCTGGTACCTGTGTATCCCATGCCTCTGCAAATGGTTTTTGTCTAATTTGCTTTGCCTTCATCTCTGAATCCTAACTACTTACTTGAATCCTTACTTAATTAGGATTCTGGCTTGCTTGTTCTAGGCTTTGTCTTTTAGCTATCATGACTTTTGAACCTTTTGCTGTGAGTTATATGTGCATACAGGCTAGCCTAAGGCTTACTATTTTCTTTAGTTTTTAAAACACATATGGCCATGGTGTGCATTACAGTTATCTTTGGCTGAGATCTCCCAGATGATCTACTTTGCTGTGATGAAATTTTAGATATGCAATATTTAAGAAAAGATAAGATTTCCCATACTATACCTTTATACATTTTATGTAATTCATCACATGCTATTTCAAACCCTCCACTAGAATATAAACTCCTAAGGGTCAGGACAACATCGTCCTCATTTTGTATACCTTTTAGAACCTAAGAATAAGAGCCTTAATTACTCTGAGGTTTAGCGTTCTTACCAGTAAAATATGACAATGTCTATTCTCAAGATTTCTTTTGTGAGGAATAAGGGAAATACTATATTCAAAATACCCCAAAATACCAAATAACATATAGTTGCTGCTCAATCCCGGTGCCAAAAGCAGAAGCTCATTAAAGAATTAAAAGGAATAGTTTATATAAAGAAGGATTAGAAATTAGCTAAAAGTTCTAGTTTGATGCTGCTGTTGATATCCACTCAAGGCTTGCAGCAAATGCTTTTCTCTGCTGACCTTTATCTTTAGGATATAGCTCAGGCTTCCATTACAAATAGATACAGTGAGAAATTCAGAAAGTGAGAGAAATAAGAAAAATATTTTTATAACTTCAAAAGAACATATTTTCAATTTATTTGGAATATAACATCTTCACATATATAATTCACAGAAGACAGAAATTTAAGTAATAAATGACCTAACACTGGGTTTTACACTTAAGATGGTTAAATGTATTTTTGCTTCGCCTAAGGTAAAACAGGAGCCCCGGTGGTACAGCGGTTAAGCGCTCGACTGCTAACTGAAAGGTTGGGAGTTTCAACGCATTAGCTGCACTGTAGGAGAAAGATGTAATAGTCTCCTTCTGTAAATACTACAGCCTTGGAAACCTTATGGGGCAGCTCTACTCTGTCCTTAAAGAGTCACCATGAGTTGGAACTCACTTGATGACAATGAGTTTGGTTTTTTTGGTTTTAACTGGGGATCATTAAATCTTGGAAGAGAGTAAAGATGTTTTTCCCGACAACATTTTGATGTTTTGTACATTACTACTAAGCGGATATGCGCCAGAAAAATTTACAGGAAATGATTATTCTTCAGGATGTTCCAGACTCTAAAGACTTCCTAAGTGGCCTCTAAAAGTTAATGTTAATGTTCTCCCTATGTATCTCGCATTAGTGGAAAGTAACAGTGTATCCACAAAACTCTATTGAGAAGGTTATTATTAAAATTCTAGGATAACATGCTTGAAAAAAAAGATTTAAATTTCTTAAATAAAATTTTCATTTTTCTGAATAATCCTCATTTCAAGTTCTTAGGTTAGGTAACTTTCTGGTTTTGATTTCTCTATAGCATCTCAGCAACTCTGGTTGTTTGAACTTTGTACATGAGCTTCTCAGACAAAAGATGGGGGTGGAATTAAGAGCATTCCTTTAAACATTGCTTGTCTTCAATTTAATAAATCTTAACAGAAAACTGCTATGTGTGGTATAAAACTCTAGTTCTGGTAATTGGCTGTTGCAAAATACTGGGTAGTAAGAAAGGCCAATTTTGAAGAAAAAAAGAATAAAAACAAGCTTTATGCCATCAAGAAGTAATTGGAGTAAAATTTATGCCTTATCCAGAAAAGAAACTCAAAGAGAAGATCAAAACAAAGGAAAAAATTAGGGCAAACAAGAGAAAGGGGAGACGGAAGTTCTTGGCAGGGTTCTTGACATCAGTCTGGGGGTCTGGTGGAGGGGACAAGAACCCAGCTGAGAGAGACCTGGCAATGCAGGCAGTAAATAATCATGGGAGTAAGAAAGTGCTCTCATTTTCCCCGAA